GGTGTCGTGTTACTGATCCATATGGAAGGTCTCCGGGACCAAAATTCCTTTGCTGCATCCTGAGATATATTATCCCACGACAGCTTTCTGCAATTCGGTAATCCTGGAGGTTGGCTTGGCCTGTGTGCTATCCAACTTTCATGGGACGAAATCCCTCCTGTATTCGGCACGCGGCGCTGGTGTGTAGTATGACGCCAGGTATAATCGATATTAGTCTGGTTTGTGTCGGGCCACTGAGCGGACTGCAGATCGTGCATCCCTATGAAAAGCCCAAGACAGGATGTTTTTTGTCTACAGCATTCTGTCAGCTGGACATGTTTCGATGGACAAGTTTTAAAACTTACATACAAAACTTATATATTGGTAATGAAAATGCCTGAGTATTATTGTATAGTACTTCCTTCCCTCCCTAATGCAGTCATATGTGTCAGGCCAATGACTCAGCCCACACCCGGTCTGGAAAACCAAAAATCAATAATGGTCTGAACAAGCTCATTTGCACTCTGCGTTGTGCTACTGCGGCAGTAGTCAGGTTGTCTGTACAGATGTCCTCAGGGAAATTCATAGCTCAATAACTTGATCCAGAATCAGATTTATGCAAGAGTTTGGCAAACCTAGTGGTAGCTTGTCATCTTTATGTCCTCCACAGGGATTCTTAGGGCATCACAGAACAGACTTTGATTCTCCTTCATCTTCAGCAGTGAAAGTCTGATTGTCTATTGTTCGGCCCATCATGAGTCAGTAATAAAGCAACCATTTGGTGCAACCAAGCTGGAGTTTGATACAAAGGATCAGTTCAACCACATTACAAAAGTAACACATTCTTTCGTTAACCCCCAGTGGTATCTAGCCATGCAGATCATTATGAATGGAATTTTGTTTGTGATGTTCATTTTTTGGGGATTATCTAGAGATCATGCTTTATTATGATTTCTGTTGGTGAACAATACTAAATTATAATGTCTTTAGGTGGTTGAATACGCACCTTTGTGTTAGTGGACTGTGCAAACCATTAATATGATTAAATATCAATGGACTGCATGATTGAAATTTAATCTTTCCTTTAAATGAAAAATCAATGAAAAATAAAAAGCCAAATTCACACGTCCTCACTTCTGAAATGTCTACTAAGAAAAGTTCAGACAGTCAAACATGAATCATCTGTTGAGAAACATACAGCCTAATAAAGTTACATAAACACATGTATTATTTTATCACACTGCAACGGATGAATTAATTATCACCTAACATCAAACACAGCTTTCTAGTGGACTTTCAGTTCAACTACTGACCCTTGTTTTTGGGAAGGCCTTCAGTGTTTCCCACAGGATGATAGGGTCAGTTGTTGGATTCCCAATATTAAGCTATGAAAATATTTGATAGACCAACACACAAGATATGTCTCTCTAAAACACACACCAGCTTTCCCCGCCTCTCTCTGTTTGTATCTCTGTTGTCTTTCTTCAGCACTAACTTTGATATAGTCGCCCAAAAAGCACAACCCTGGTTCAGGTTTTTGTTTCATCCGTGATTCCATTCTAATAACAGCAGGTGAGCCACTTTATGAGATAAAATATGTGCATTTAGGAATAGTTAAGGCTCTCGTTTTTGACCTCATCAGTAAAACAATGTACACATTTTAATACTTTATAAATGAAACAAAATAAATGCATTTAGCATGAGGAAAAATTCATGAAATTCTTTTGTGACCCAAATAAAATCTCCTGACCCACGTTAGGGTCGCAACCCAGTGTCTGGGAATGAATGCTCTACATAGAATGAGTAATTGTTATATATAGGTAATAAAATCCCTGAGCATTATTGTATAGCTCTTCCTTCCCTCCATAATGCAGGCATATGTGTTAAATCAGCCCCCACCCTATCTGTGGTAAAACCAAAGATCAATAATGGTCTAAACGAAACTCCTCTGCACTCTGCATTCTGTTGACACACACTTTATGTGTGTTGGTCTGTCTCGTTGTTAATATTGGATCATAATGATCAAAACCAACCAATGACATTGGCAACAGTAGATGTGTTCGCTGCTGTTCACTGTTGCGTTACCTGGTCTGCGCTGGTAAAATAAACAATGTATCTGCGCCAATGAGCGTCTGTCTCCATTTCTCTGCAGAGCAGTGTGACTGTCAGGAGGGGCAGAGCGAGGGGAGATTGTCTACTAGTTTAGTGGTTTCAAACCTCTTCTTTATGGTTCCCCTTTTCTGTCATTGAGTTTGGATATATTCAAACTTTGAGTAGATTATTCCCTGTTTATCAAACTTTTTATACAATATATCTGTCTCTATTATGTATTTTGTATCATTTCTAACAATGATTCTATTGAACAGTTTACTTTACATTTGCTTCACAGAAGTGAGCCTATTGTGTATATTTTTAAAGTTTTCTTACACCCCTTAAAATCAAAAAGGCCTTGTGACCCCCCATGAATCTTTGGTAACCTCTAGTGGGAGTCCCGAACCCCAGTTTGGGAACCACTGCACTAGTTAATTAATCGTGGATACTTGTAATGTGAGTGAGTGAGGCTTTGCTCAACCAGCGGCGCAAAACACAATGTTAGAGAGAAGTGTAAAAATATTTTTGGTTAGGGTTAGGGTTATTATGAATATCGGGGGAATTAAACCATAGTGGTGCACTATAGTCTAGGTAATTGATTAAAAACGCTGGCCTTTTTTTTGTGTGTGTGTGTGTGTCTGTGTATGCTTTCACATTTAACACAAAGTACATTTTTTCTCCTTTGATGGCTACTGTGGTTTTGGAGTTTATGTCTTGTAGCTACAAGCTGCCAATGGATGACCCACAAATGACAGTACATAGAGTACTGTTGCTAGGATTTTGAAGAAGGGGATAAGGGGAAGCCTGTATCTTTTCAGTCATTCCAAAATCCTAACCCTGTCACCACGACTGAAGGCTCAGCTTGAACCACAAAAACAGTTAAACTGGATGAGTAGTATAGATTTCAAAATAAAGAACAGGGAGATGAGGTGTCTCTCTGTTTCTTAGTCAAGTGTAAGGTAAAGTGATTCCAGTATGTTTAAGTGCCATTATAAAAGTATGAATATTTTTAGTATATTTTCATGGTTATCGCAACTACTCTGGCCAACATAATCGTGACATGAAATGTTCATATTGTTCATGCATACTCTCTGCTCTTGTCTGTACATTGATAGTGTCACAGAACTAAAGCTGAAAATAGTTGTCATTTAAGTGATTAGTCAATCCACAGAAAAAATCAGCAACAGTTCTGATAATTGGTTAATCAATTTTCCTCTTCGTCAATGTCTTATGATAGTAAACTGAATCATTTTAAACGTTTATTTCAGTTTGTTCATGTTACACATGGTTCAGCTAATGCCTGATCTGAAAAACATTAAGTCATCCCAACAAACATTTCTCAGATCTTTGTTTTTATAAATCCATGTGATGGTGATCACCTGCTACAGAATGCTGACCCTCACCCACACATACAGTGGAAAAGCTTTCCCATTGCCAACACAGCTGTTGTCCACTAAACAGGGACTTTCCAGTCGGTCCTCTGTTCACAACAGGGGCCAGGTGTATAAATATTGCATATGCTACTTCCCAGCCATGAACTGGTAAAAGCAGAACATTCAGTGAGAATATACTGACCTCACACATCATTTACCAATTCAATTTAGTTTGATTTGTATCGCGCCAAAATTAACAGAAGTTATCTCAGGTCTAGACCGTACTCCTAACAGAATTATTTGCAAAGACCCAACCCAACAGTACCACCATGAGCAAGCCCTTGGCGACAGCGGCAAAAAAAAACTTCCTTTTAAGAGGCAGAAACCTCGGACAGACCCCGGCTCTAGGTGGGTGGCTGTCTGCCTCGACCAGTTGGGGGAGAGAGAGGTAATGATAACAATGATGGTAACAGTAGACAGGAACACTTAGCCACTGCTGGCAGCTGTAACCGCAGTACTGTGTCAGCTTGTAGAACCCACCACATTTAGACACATACATACGTAAATCTGCCAGTTCTTTGATAAATTGCTTGATCTTAAATCCAATTTCTTACAATTTCCTGTAGCCCAATGTAACATCTTCAAATAGAAGATATAAAGATATTAAGGTTCCTCCTTTTTCAAAATATACAGAATCAGTCTGACAAAATGCTATCCACACCAGCAATACAATTCCTTCATTCATTCAACCTTTATTTACTTCTCGGGAGTACATTGAGGGATGAACCCTAATTTTCAGTAAGATTACAATAGGTAATATAAAAGGAGATAAACAATATAAACCAAAAAAAAAAATAATAATAATGAAAAAGAAGACAGACAACATGCTTATTATTAATATGGGCAAATCCTTCCAATGTTATCAGGGAATCAATATTTATAATGCATTGTAGTTTCACCAGTCCGGAGCCGAGAATTCCAATTTGGAACAGCAACACAGGAGAAATGTAATGCAAAAAGCGGAAAAAGGATAAATAATACAATAAAATATAATAAAATAAAAATATAATGAAAAAATAATCTAGAATATAGAAATATATACTCTATATACAATAAAGATTAATATGGTCCAGATGGATAATGAATGGATGGAATGGATAAACTATACAGTAATCCAGTCCTGAGAGCGGGTTTGATAGGTTCCTACATTAAGGTCTAATAGTGAAGTGATGTAAGTGGGTAATTTGTTTAGGAGTGCTTTATAGATAAACGTAAAATGGTAAATGGACTGTACTTATATATATGTATTTGTATGTATATGTGT